AAGCCAGGTTTCCTGGATCATGGCAACAGAGACGTTGTTGGTGTTGAGAAACATTTCGAGTTCTGTGAGTTTGTTATATAGTGAGCATGCGTTCCAAGTAAGGAATTTTCCCGGGGGAGAGGGGGGTGGGAATGTGATTTTAGCCGAATAGAAGCTGGATGGCTTCTAGGATGACTTCAAGTTTATCCATGTTGGTTTGGCAGGAGGCGAGTTTGTTTTTGATGGTAAAGAATATGGGGATGGCCTTGGTGCAGAGTTGCATCAGAAAGGTGCTGATATCGGTATTCTGTGGATTGAGAGGGTCGGGGATAGAGTCTGGAGGGTTGATGTTGCTGTTACTGTTACTCCTCGCGGAATATCTATTGCTTGTGAGGGCGTCTCGGTATGAAATGGGTTGCGGGGAGGGCGATGGTGAAGGTGAGGGCCAGCCGAAGGAGCCGGCTCCTCGTGTAGATGATTGATTGTTATTGCTATGCCGACTGCCAGCGGGCAGGTTGGTAAAATGAGTCAAGAGGGGTGGTGGTGGGTGGGGGGGATTGGAGATTCTGGTTCCCGTGTGTCCGGTGTTGGGGGGGGATCTTTTGCTGAGGTAAGCAACGAGTCTGGGACATTTGGAGAAATTGGCGGTGTGTTCGCCGCCGCAATTAGCACATTTGGGAGGGGCGGAGAGTTTTTTCTTGCATTCCGCTGTAGGATGAGGTTGGCCGCATTTAACGCATTTGTGCGTTTTGTTACAGTTTGCTGAAGAGTGTCCGAAGGCCTGGCATCTGTAACACTGGGTGTACGTTTTTTGGTTGTTGTACCTTTCCCAGTATACTCTACAGTAGAAAACTAAACTGACCTTGGTGATCGAACTGAATTTGGTGGAGGGGGGGAAGGAAATTTTGTAGAAACAGCGGCCGCTGTTCTCTTTGAAAAGCGTGCAGCTGATTGGCAGAAGGCCCTGCTGCTTGAGGTCGTCAAGGATAAATTGCGTGTCAATTCGTGGTAGGCCCTTCAGGACCGCGACAATTTGTTTCTCCGACGGGAGAGCATATGTGTGAAACTTGATTCCCTGTTGGCGGAATGCCTCGCGGGCAGCGATGAAGTGGGCTTGTTCATGCAGGTTAATTCGCGTTTGGTCTCCCAAACATTTCAGAGAAAATTTGTTTCCCACTGTGGCGAACAGCTCTCGGCTGAGACTGTGCAGCCGGTCAGCTGGGATCTGGACATGGAGGGGAGGGGGACGGGAGTTCCCGCCGGGGGCCTCTCCCTCGTTCGAAAGAGGACGGGCTGGTGTCCGGGCACCGTTAGTTTGAGATGTGGGGGGGCGTTTAGAAGAAGAGGGGAGGGGAATAGAAGAATCAGAAGAAGAAGCGTCCTCCGCGTGGGGCGGGGGGACGCTTGCCATAGTTTCGGCGAGAAGGGAGAATCTGTTAGAAGTTGGCACAGCAAAAGTGTTGTTGTTAGGTTCAGTGTGTGGTGTTGGGGAGGGAGGGTGTGAGAGGGGACCTCTGCGGCCCTCCATGTCGATGATTTTGAGCTTTTTAGTGGCGCTCATTTGTGTTGGGTTTCCCAACTTACCCCGTGGGTGCTCTGGATCCTCAAGGCAGGAACCCGGCTCAGGTGAGGCAGGAGGCCACCATTCAGTGATTTCGTCAGCGTCAGTCAGAATCGTGGAAGAGCGCGTGCGCTTCCCAGTTGAAGATGGCGTCGGCTGGCGCGTCGCCAGCAGGCGGGATGGTTCCACGTGGTCGCGGGAGGTTATGTTTGGTTGATGTTTAATTGAACTCAGGTTTGTTGAGTTGGCCTTGAGTTCTCCTTCCAGGTGAGGTGCTGATCTCCGACCAGGATTGCTAACTGGGTTTTTAGGTCTCGGTTCTTCCTTTCCACCGGGTTCGTTTGGGGGTGGTAAACCGGGATGAACTGGGATTTGATATCGAGACAGTGCAGGAGTTTCTGCATGATCTTACTGATAAACTGCGTCCCGTTGTCGCTGATTATTCTGCGTGGCACGCCGTATCGTAGAAAGACTTCCTCCATCAGGACGACGGCGCAATTTTCAGCAGTCGCCTGGGAAAGGGGGAACAGCTCCACCCATCGGCTGGCTCTATCCTTCACGATGAAGATCCATTTATAGTCGTCTTGGGAAGGCGGCAGTGGTCCGAATAGGTCGATCGAGAGCACCTCGAATCGCCGCTGCATGCTGGGCGTCTGCAGCAGTCCTGCTGGTCGTAAGTTGCTAGCTTTGTATCGTTGACATTGTAGACAATCACGAATATGTTTGGCAACATCCTTTCGTAGGTCCGGCCAGAAGTATCTTTCTAATATCTTCTGCGAGGTCCTTTCAGCTCCGTAGTGGCCGGCGGTGGGGGCGTCGTGGTATTTCCTTAGGACATCCTCCCGTTCGTGGGCGGGAACGATGAGCTGGGGCTCCTCGGTACACGCGTCGGGCGCGTGACGATACAGTACTCCATTAGAGACCATGTATCCTTTCTGCGTCCAGTGCATGAAGTTTTCGGCTTGATCCGCGGTTTCAAAACAGCCTATAATCCCTTTAATTCTCTCGTCTTTTAACTGCTCGGCGCGAATTTCTCTACTCCCTCTGCTGGGTAGGTCGACGCTGATCAGTCCAAGATCTTGCTCCCGGAAGTATTCCTGGGGTTCCTGCCGTGGGCGGGACAGGAAGTCTGCGACATGATTGGAACGTCCTGGGGCGTAGTCAAACGTGAGGTTAAACTCCTGTAAGAGTAGGGCCCATCTGGCTAGACGACCGCTAGGAGTCTTCAGTGTCATCAACCACCGCAGGGGCCGGTGGTTGGTGATGACCTTGATGTTGGTTCCATCTATGTACCCACGGAACTTGTTGATCGCCCATATTACTGCGAGTGCTTCTCGCTCCGTGGTTGAATAGTTCTTCTCAGGGGCGGTGAGGAGGCGGCTGGCATATTCCACTGTGTGCTCGTCTTCCTTCTCCCCCTGGATTAAAGCAGCTCCGACGGCGTGTCCGCTCGCGTTCGTGCGAATCGTATAGGGTTTCGTTGAATCCGCGGGGCGAAGTATCGGTGCTTCCGTCAGTTTTGTTTTTAGCGTTTGGAAGGCGTTCTCCTGCTTTTCCTTCCAATGCCACGGCGTGCTCTTTTTTGTGAGAGCGGTGATTGGATTCGCGATTTCCGCAAAGTCCGGGATGAATCTCCGGTACCAAGAGCATGTCTGGAAGAAACTTAGTACGCCCTTCACGTCCGTTGGCGCCTTTCTTTCCAGGATCGCTCTGACCTTTTCCGGGTTTGTGGCGATTCCCTCCGGGGTCAGTATGTGTCCGAGATAGTAGATTTCTGGGCAGCATATATGGCACTTCTCCCTCTTCATTCGTAGTCCGAAGAGGCTTATCCGGGCGAACGTGGCTTCTAGGTCGTTTAGATGTTCCTGAAATGTTGACGAGAGAATAAGGAAATCGTCGAGGTATACAATTACCCTACGATCTCCCAATCCTGCACATAGCCGGTCCATCAGCCGTTGGAAGGTGGCTGGGCGTTCTTCAACCCGAATGGCATTCTTTTAAAGCGGTATACTCCAAACGGGGTGACGAAGGCCGTCTTGTCCTGGTCCTCCAGCCGTACCGGGATCTGCCAGTATCCGGATCGCAGGTCCAAGGTTGTCATATATTTTGTTGAGAAGGTTGAGTGTAGAAGGTCATCGATGCGCGGTAGTGGATAGGCGTCTGCGATGGTGACGGCATTAAGTTTTCGGTAATCTACGCAGATCCGTACTCCTCCGTCCTTTTTTGTCACCATGAGCACCGGGGCGGCCCATGGGGATTCGCATTCCTCCACTATGTAATCTTGTAGCATCGCCTCTAACTCGTTTTGGAGAGCCGTTTTTCTCGGCGGCGATAGCCTGTACGGGGGGACCGCGATCGGTGCGTGGTCGCCAGTGTTTATTTGGTGTTCCGCAAACCTTGTTGGTCCTCCGTTTCGTTGAAACAACTTCGCATGTCTGTTTATGAGTTTCCCCATGCCGATCTTTTCAGTCGCGGTGAGTCCCTTGGCCTCTTCCGGGCGTAGTGATACGTCTACGGTCGCTATGTCCACGGAGTACTGTCGGAAGCATCGCTCAAATAGGTGGTCCATCCTCTCATCTTCCAGCTCTCGTCTCGGGGTGGACGGGAGTGGTGATATCGGTGCTATGGTCTCAAAGAGCTGGCTCCATGGTTCGGTTTCCTCCGGGAGCGGGCTCACTGGTTGTGGCACGGTGTACTCTTGAATCTGTGGGAGATTCCTGTCATTTTTTCGTGGTCTCTTCGGTCTCGGTTATGCCTTTGTGGCTACTGGTTCGTCTTCGAACAGGAAGATCTTCTCTGGTTCATCCGAAAAGTTCCACGCTCTCTGTGAGGCGTTTATTACAATTCCCACATTTTCTAGGAAGTCTATCCCGAAGAGCGTTCGGTTTCCTTCTGCTTCCGGCAGTGCTATAAAGGGCGTCTTAATGTGTCGTCCTTTTAAATTCACTGCGAGCTTCGCGTATGGGACCACTCGTATTCTGGGGTGGCCGTCGGCTAGTGCGATGCAGAGCTTTTCTTCCTTAAATTTCGTTCCGGTGGCTTTCAGTAGCTCGTATAGCTTCTTGCTGGCAACGCTGATTTTTGCACCAGTATCGAAAAATGCGTGTCCATCCAGGTTGTTGACCGTGAATCGAACCGTCGGGCGATTTCGGTATCGAGTAGTGCTAATGGCACAGAAATCGGCTGCTTCGACGTTTGAGATGGATGCCTTGTTGCATTCTGGGCAACGGCTTCGGACAAAGCCCGGTTTTCCACACCCGTAACACTGGAGGGTTGGTCTTTCCGGTGCTTTTTCTCCGTTTTTGTTTTTCTTTTTCCGGCACTCCTCCAAGGTGTGACCGGTTTTCCGACAGAATGTGCACTTGGCGCTTCTGTCGAGGACTTTGTCGCTTCTCTGCTCCTTGGTTTCGTGATTCAGGGCTTCCAGCGTGCGAGCGCGTCGGATGAGCTCTTCGAAGTTCTAGATCGAGTCCCTTGGTATCCGCTCTCTGGTGCTGAGTTTAAGAAGTCCACACAGTATATCTAGTTGCACTTCTTCTGTGTGGCTCTGAGGTAGTTCTGCTAGCAGCGCTCTCTTTTTTGCGAGGAATACGTCCGTTGGGATTCGATTATCTTGCTTCGTTGCGAAGATTTCGGCGTATACGGTGTATGGTTGGCGTTTTGGGGCGTAGGCGTTCTGTAAGAGGTTTGTGGCTTGTTTCCACGTCCTCACGCTCGCCTTGGTTCCCTGTCACCAAATTGCAGCTTCGTCGTCCAGTAGGAGTGGTAATCCTCTGATGGCGTTCTCGTCAGAAATTCCCTCGATATCCTTGTATATCGATACGGTAGAGATGAAATCTTCCACCTTCGATCTTTCTCTCGATCCGTCGAATCGGGCTGTACATCTCGCAAAACTTCCTTGCGTCATGGTCGGCGAAGGGGTTCTTCGGGTTTCCAGCACCGATAGAAGGCGGCTCAGTTGCTCTTCTGTCATCTTTCCTTGTGTTCTCGGGCTCCTTTTCGGTGATGCCGTTTTCTTCGGAGGCGCCGTCTTTCGTTTATGCAGGCCTCGAGTTGGGCGTCAGTTGTGGTGTGAAATTTATTTAAAATCTCACTTTGTTGTTGTGAGGTCGAATTACAGATAAATCGAAAGCGATTATGCCTCGAAGACGGTCGGTGAGAAGGCGCAAATTTGACGTTAGTCAAATTTGACTTGGCCAGATCTCCCAAAGGAGGAGGGCGGGGGTAGGTAGGTGAAATAGGTAAGAGTGAGAGAGGAGGGAAGAGAAACTATCGTCTGTAACCCGCGGAGACGTCTGTTGTCTCTGTGAAGGTATTTTGGAGAATTGGATTCAACCTAGAGGTGTCGCTATGATCCGCGAAGGAGCGTCTGCCTCTAGGAGGTGGATAGGTAAAGATGGCGAGGGTAGAGACAGGACAGGAAACCTGGTCCTGGAGTCTTCGTTCGCTCCGTACTGACCTTTGCAAGAACAAGGAGTGTCGTCTATAATCCGCGAAGGAGACGTCTGCTCGGTGTATGCTAGAGTAGTCTTAGTCGGCTTTCCGCAAGAAATGACTTTTCTTTTCTTTTTTTTTTTGAACAGGCAGCGCCTGTGTAGTTTTTTGCTTGAATTTGGTGTAGAGTCACCTGGCGTTAATCCGCCATATACTCTAAAAGACTTTGGAGACATTAGGTATCATAAAAAAGAAATTTGGTAATTAAAAATGAAGTCGAAGTCATGCAGGAAAAGTTGCAAAAAACCTGCTGAAGCCTGGTGGTTGCCTCAATGGGGGCAAATCTGGGTTGCTCCCTGGAAGTGGGAGAAGATAGTGTGGGTAGTACACACTCCTGAAAGGATAAAAAAATTTAGTACACGTACAAGAGAACACGCAATGACCACACTCGTGATGCATTCCGGAAGCGTTGTTGAAGACATGCAATGTAAAAAGCAGAGGCAGTAAAGCAGCAGTAGAACAGTAGAGGAGTGGGAGACATGCATCGGTGACGAGCCAGCCTGCGGGGAATGGGGGAGGCAGGCTTTGGCTGATCGGTGAACGAAGGCAGGAGAGAAACCTAGAGCGTGGTTGACCCGTCTTGGACTACTTCTAAAGGAAAATTCACCCTTGGTCTGTACGGGAGGTGGTGAAGCCTGAAGGTACCGGTGTTCCTGACCATAGGATTGGGATGATCATTAACTGTATAACTGTTTGCAAGGCGAGAAATGCATTGCTTAATAAATGGTAGTTTGGCCTTATAATGAAGATCTGAAGTGGAGTGATCACGCGGGAGGTTGAAGATGATCTTAAGAGCCTTGTTCTGTAGACGCTGAAGACTCTGGATGTGAGCGCGCGCGGCAGCTGACCAAATCTGGGCGCCGTAGAGCATTATTGGGCGGATACAGGCCGAAAAAATTAAAATTTTTAAATCTATTGGGAGTTTGGATGATGGGGAGGTCAGGGCTCTTGCTGCACCTATTGCAGCATAAGCTTTTTTGTGCCTATCCGCGATGGCAGGACCCTAATTAAGTTTAGAATCGATGGTAACTCCAAGGTAAGTGATATTGGTAGACCAAGGGATGCAATTGTTACTTAAGTATAGGGGAGGGATTCGAGTTTGGATGCCTCGCTTTCTTGTAAACAAAATGGCCTGTGTTTTACCGCAACTCAGGGACAGTTTCCAGTCCGCAAAAAACTTGAGTAGGAGGATGAGGTGATTCTGCAACTTAACCACTAAATTTTTGTGGCACCAAGAAGACGAATAGATGACCGTATCATCGGCGTACAGGGCGAGGGAGGTGCTCGGTGAAACAGGAAGATCATTAATATAAATCAGGAAGAGCAGAGGGCCAGCACCGAGCCTTGAGGAACTCCAGATTTAATATGCAATGGAGGAGATTTGTCTTGGCCGAGTTGAACATAGAAAGTACGATTGGTTAGATACCAGTGAATGAGTTTAATAATACAAGGATGAAAGTTCAATTTAATTAATTTGTAGATAAGACCGTTATGCCAAACCGAGTCGAAGGCTTTCTGGAAGTCCAGGAGAACCATAGCCGCGAATCGGTTTGTGTTCATGTTATTGGCATGGTGCTGTGCCACCCTGATGAGCTGTTGCACGGTGGAGTGGGATCTCCGAAAACCAAACTGATGGTCAACCAGGATGATGTTCTTATTAATGTGATGGTTCATGATATTGCAAATAATTCTTTCAAAAACCTTAGATAAGACCGGGAGTAAACTGATTGGCCTGTAACTATCAGAAAACATGTGATTTTTCCCAGGTTTCGGAATAGGAACCGTTTTTGCCACTTTCCATTGTGCAGGAAAGTAGTTGTGAATAATGGCTGCTCTAATAATGTAATAAATTTGGATAAAAATTTTAAAAGAGGCGTGTTTGAGGAGAGAGGGTGAGACCTTGTCTCCACCACACGCCTTGTTGTTTTTGAGCCTCCCCACAAGATCCCCAATGATCTTGGGGGAAACATGCTTGGATAGGTCCAAAAATTTTGTCGGATTATAAAACTCCCTGTAGTGAAATTTTTCAAGTTCACGGTTGGCCATCAGCTGGAGCGGGGACGTGATCCGGTGGGCGTGGTCAAAGACACTGCTGAAGTGATTAGCAAGAACCCGAACTTTCTGTGAATTTAAGGCTAACAGGTTGCCCTGGATATCCTGAAGTGGGGGAATAACTATTTTCTTTTTAGTGATTTTCTTGTAAAGAGGCCAATAGGTGTGATCGTTTAGTTTTGCATCCTTAATTTGTTCAGTAATGAATTTGGATTTTAGTTGGATTATTTTCTTTTTGATCTGTGTCGTGAGGTCCCTGCAATATTGCGAATATATAAAGTTCCCTGTTCTTTGCTACTTCTTCCTTGCGGAGTTGCGAAGGGCAGTTAAGTTCTTTAGTTCAGAATCAGCTACTATAAATTTATTTGAAGTTGGTACCAAGTTGGTAGCATGAAAGAACGATCTACGGAGTGACCTGGCGAGAGAGCTGACAGCGAGGTCAATATCTTGTGCAGATGAGATAGCGTGGTTTATGGGGAGTTTTAGCCTGAAGTTACGGTACGCTTCCTAGTCAGTGACCGGGATGGAGGTAGTGGTTTTTTGGTTGCAGTTAGAAGTTGGTGAGAGTAGTACAGGCAGGTGATCGGAACTGAGTTCGTCGAGCGTGGTGCAGGTGAGGTAATGGTTTAAGTCAGAAAGAAAGAAGTCAAGAGTGGCTGGGTGTCGGTTAGGAACAAGGTGAGTGTATGCGTCAGGAAAGAGTATGTCATAAGTGGTGTTTTTTGCCCGAATTCGCGATGCAACGCGATCAACTTTAATAAAGACGGCGCGTTAGTGAAGGTCGTAAATCTTCACTTCGATGTTTCGACACCGCGTGTCGTACAGTGATTTCCTTACGATCGTTTTCGGAGGTAAGGAATGATAATTGGGATGTGTCTTTGGTTTGTGTCTTGTTCTCGTGAAGTGTGTTTTTGAACTCATTCCTCGTTCGAGGAATCTCCCGAAAGTAAAACTGAACGAGGTGTGTTAGCGGGGGTGAGACATGTGGATTGGTTGAATTGCATTTTTTCGGGAGTGGCTAGAGAATCGGTCGAGTGAATATGATTGGCTGAATAAATTTTGTGTAAAGTGACCTCCCTCCAGCTAACGGTCACCCTCAGGTAAAGAGAGTACCTTCGAGTGACGTACGCGGAAATTCCACATGCCTCGCCCGCGACCGTAGCAGGCAAGAATCTTTATGATGCACTCTGACTCAGGCAACCCATGTTCGAACAATGAAACGAAAATTGAAATTCTAAGCCATAAAATAAAGGCGAAAATAATGAAACTAAGAGACTAACGGTGTTCAATGGCTTTCATAAAGTTATTGTTGCTACGGACGGGTCACAGTTTCTTCAATAAGTAAAAGGCAAATTAAGAAATAGAAGGTGGTGTTAAAAACGTGAGGAAGAGATTAGAAACTCTGACCCGCTTTCTGAATAGAGGAAGAGGACAATCGAACAGATTTTATACAGTTTTTTTACTAGGTCGTTGGGATAACTGTCTATTCTTTTTTTATAGCTGTCGCAGCGACTAGTGATTTTATCAGAAACTGTTTTAACTTTGAGGTCCTTCCGAATGTCGTCATTTCGAACATACCATACCATGCCTTTCTCTACTTTCTATGACCTTCAATGGCCTTATGTAATAGGTCGTTGAACTCGTTTTAAGATCCTCTATCGTGATACGGAAGCAAAAACATACCGATCCATTTAAAAAAATGGAGGTCACCTTCAAATGTTCGAAGTACCTCCACCTGCAAAAGAAACTATTATCGCCACCGGATGGCCCCCTTTGTACTGTGTAATTTTATTTCAGCAAATATTTCTGTGAAACTTATAGTTTCGAAGATATCTGAGGTGCTAATAGTTATTGCTCCACCCTGTATATTGTACAAGTGGTATTTTCATATTGTTTTTATCTGTTAGGTGGGTTTCTGCTACAAGCATTATATCGATTTTATTGATACTTAGAAAGGTTTTTAATTCTGGTAATCTTTGGTGTAGCCCGTTTGCGTTCCAGATAGCGATTTTTAATTTATAGTCCATTGTTATTTTGGTTTGTTAGTAAGCACGTTAGTAAGTAGTTCTAATAATAAGTTGATTTGTTTTGATTGTTCTTTTAACAGTTGTGATTATTCGAATATCATGGTAGAGATGGATTCAGTGTTTTTTGCAGTTTGTAACAATAATTTTTTAATTTCAGATGTTTCTGATATTGATTCGTCATGTGTTATAAGAGGTTGCGTTCTATTCCGTGTTATGTCAGCGTAGGACATTGTTCGTGGGGTCGGGTGACTGTGTGTATTGTTAGTGATACTATTTCGAATATTAGTCTGAGCTGGTGAAGAGGCAGTGTCTATGATTTTTTTAGCTCTAAGTGTAGGGTATAGTTTTTGCTGTAATTGTTTTCTTATTATATAACCTCTGTAGCTGGCTGGGGGATTTC